TTCCGCCCCCGCATCCGTCGCCCAGAACTCAGCCGCCACGGTTTTCAGCCTCCTCTCCGTCGAAACCTACCGCCCAATCATCGGATCCAAGAAAGCCCTAATCTCGGGTCTGATTGCCCTCATCCGCGTTCCGAATCAAGACGCGCGAACGGTGAAGGACGCGCTCAAGGCTCTGTTCGGCATGGCGCTGTATCCCATGAATCGGGCTAAGATGGTGGAATTAGGCGCCGTTCCGGCGCTGTTCTCGCTTGTGATGAAGGAGGAGAGGTCGGGAGTGTTGGAGGATGCGACGGCGGTGATAGCGCAGGTGGCGGGCTGTTACGAGAGCTTCGAGGCCTTTCGAAAGGCGGCGGGATTTAGGGCTCTGGTGGATTTGATGGATAAGATGACGGGGGGGAAGGGAAGGGTGAGGGAGAACGCGGCCGCTGCGTTGCTTAATCTGGCGATGAGCGGAGGAGAGGCGGCGGTGGGAGAGATATGGGAGGTGGAGGATGCGGAGGAGGTGATTAGAGAGCTTGCCGAAGCGGGGATTAGTTCGAGGGCGAAGAGTAAGGCGGAGGCGTTGCTTAGGGTTTTGGGAAGCGAGCGGAGGTGCCGGCGAGGGGAGAGATGGGTTAGGGATTTGGAGTCGGCGTCGGTGTCGGAGTCGGAGTCGGAGTCGTATTTCTTTTCCGGTGATTCTGGTGGTTGTAGTTATTAGGGCTTGCCCCATTTAGATCTTCCCCATAGATCATTTACATTTTGCGAGGCGACCTCAATTTACCCCAACTTAGGGCAGAAAGATGAAATTTGTATTTTCCTTCGACTGTAAAAAGATTTGTTTGGATTTCATTAATTAAACTCTTATTTATTTATCTTTTCTCGCAATCAAGTAAATTGTGTTGATGATAAGAGAAAATTTTGCTAAAATGATTCTAAACTATTCAAAAGGAACTATTTTGATCCCTCACTTTTAAGAAATATCAAATTAATCTTCAACTATATTAAAAGGGGGTTAGAGTGGTCTCACACTTGAAAAAGATCTTTAATTTTGGTTGAAATTAAAGGGTGTATTTGGGGCAG